GTTTGACAAGCCGCCACGGTATAACGCGTCGAAACAGCATTGTCCATTATTTACATGCGGACGCACACGCTCAGGTGCCGGCACGGCGCGCTCAGGAGTCTTCGGAGAGGCAAAAGTTGCGAGTCCGCGGTAGCGGCGGCGGCGGCGGCGGCGGCAGCCTGGCCATCAGGTCCGATTCGATAAAAGATGGATGATCCAACCGACGGCCGTATAGTCGATCGGTCTCCGAGCTGACGCCTCCGAAGATGAAATGCACCCTTGGCGACCCCAGAACCGACCCTAAGCCCCCGGTACACCCCGTTTTCTTTCCCCCGCCCGCTCGCCCGTCCTCCTCCTCTCCTACCCCCGCTCTCGCGATAACACTTTGCCAACCGAAGGGCATATTTACGAGAGAGGCGCGTGCCCCGCGTCGGGAACGCGCCCTGCACCGTCTCTCGGATATACGCGATTTGGCATACAAATTCCGTCATATGTAACCCGGAAAAATGTTTATTGGCTCCGACTAAGGGTTATTAGGTCCGGTCCTCTAGTTGATCTGCTTGACGTAGCCAGTCGCCTCACGTAGCTCTATGAAATTGGGTCCAGCGAGTCGAGAGGGAAAGCATAAGTCTTCCTTACAACCGATTGCTCTATACTTTGCATTCCACGCGACGTAGCGCTTGGACCCCAGTCCTTCGGAAAGTTGCATCGATAAAAAATAAAGATATCGCTGTAGCGGTGAGAAACAAATCGATGTTAAATATAGAGATATTTTTCTGCGAGTAATTCAAGAATTACGTATTTAATTTACACCATGTGTATCTTCTTCGTCGTAATACACGTTTGTGTGTACTCTTGCAGAATAAAAAAGTAAAAGAACAGCGAATCACGTAATGTCTATATTTATACAAGACAAAATGTAATCCACGAGATTTTCGAGAGAACGCCATTTCGTGGGACGCGAGAGAATTTATAGGAATAGCCGAAGGAGCGGCAGAGTGAGAAAGGACGCGAGGTGCGGGCGAAGGACCTCTGGTTTCCTCGCGGGGGCTCCCGCACGACGGCGGCGGCGGCGGTCGTATGCCGGGGAACAGCAGTACATTATTTCTTGATGTCAAATAAAGCAATTAGCATGTGCCCTGACCAGGGTCCGCAGGTTCTAACCCGAGTAATCTCGCCGGGGTCCCCGGCGTGTGCGACATCTTCATCAGAGAGGCGAACCCTCCTCTCTTCGCCTTTCTCTACTCGCTTTCCCGTCGTCCCTCATGCCGGACGATGGCGCGATCACGTGACTACTCTGCACCCCCGAGAGACAAGGGATGCTCGATGCTGCGGAAGAGCGAGAGCGCGGATCGACAAGAAGAAGATGGCGGCTCGAAAGGGCGAGGGAGAGAATTGGGAGAAGAGAAAAATCAAGGGGGGGGGGTGATGGGGGGAGCGAGAGAAGGTCGTGTCCACCGAGTGAAGGCGCTTCCAAGGGAAATTTCACAAAGGCTGACCCGCTGGTAATGAATGTTATATAACCCTTTTAATGCTTTAAGCCTCTTAGATTTTTCAGTGCGCTCTCGACGCGCGCACCTCCTTCGTACCCGTCCCTTCGCCTTTTCTCCTGCGAGGAGAGCGAGCCAACGGAGGTAGTTCGCGGTAGAAAGGGGGAGGGGGAGTGAGCGAGGGAAGTCATGCCTCGGGGTAGGTAATTATGTGGCGGACGTAAATTAAGCTTGTTTAGATTGGGATTTTTATTAAGGTCTTTTATGAAAGAGAGTGCCGCCACTAAATGGCGCACGGTATACACTCCGACACTGGTACCTACTCCTTTAAACGCCGCCGGAAGAGAACCCGCAATACGTTTATTTCGTGACTAGCGCGACAATGAGATTTTAAAAGTCAGATTTGTTACGAATGGCCATGTCTCACGAAATCATACTTTTAGCAAATTATCGCATATTATTTAATATTGAAAATGTTAACATCTTAAATTATTAATAAAATTATTTCTCTCAATTTTGAGAATATAAAGAGAAAAGTTAATTCTTTCTAACTTATTATATTCTTTTATTTTTAAATAAAAATGCTATATATGCAATATATATTGAAATATGTAAGACATATATTATAATAATTCTTGCAACATGATAATCGCGTGAAGTACAGAGAGAACAACGGTTCGAGAGAAACTTCGAACTTGCCCAATTTCCCCAGGACCATCCCCAAGGAAACAACGATCAAGAGATATATCTAATAGCAGCAGGACGTACGCACTGAGGAACACGGAACAAATAAGTAAGGATTAGTTTAATCGTGCTTTAGGAGTCGAACGTTACGGGTTTATGTCGCCATTCCCTTTTTCGAGGGAAAGGAAAAAGCTACAGCTCGTATACGACCGAGTTTACGAACCAGCGATAATATGTGTAAAGAGATTCAATTGATATATCGAAATATAGACTTTCGCTAGAAATTTATTTCCGCTAATAAACGTCAACCGTAATATAATTATTATTAATAATAAACTAAACGAGATCACTAAAAGTAAATAATACAATTAAACGGAGAAATGCTTTCAACAGTCGAGGTCGAATCTAGATACTGAATAATATTTCTACGTAAGTTTCAAATACATTTGTTAGTTATTTAAACTGCAATAATTATTATCTTTTGTCCAGTATAACAAACAATTCTACTCATCAATTTTAAATAATACAGTGAATCATATCTACTAACTTTAAATATACTTAAGTAAGTATATTTAAATATAACCAGCGTTACACACAGGTGCTATTCTGTACGTAAGCGTCAATCAAAATATATAAAAATACTATCAGGTATCACTTATCGCTTTAATTCGTTTTATTCGTGTACATCGTGCGTAGGCATGTTAATCCAAACATGTCCGTAACGAGCATAGCGCTACGTCAAACAGCTAACTGCTTTCGCACGAAGGCACTGGGAGCGAACTTCGAGAAGCAGTTCGCAGGTACAGACGGTTAGCTATACCCAGTGTATATGTATACCTCCGAGCCGGTAAACGGAGAACGAAGTTCTCGGTGGAAGTTTAATTCAACTGGACGGGCAGCCGGGTGTAAACGCTGAATGATTTGTTGCAAATCGAAAGCGCCCCCGCGAGCACGAGCTCGTGCTCGAACTTCAACTTCCTGCTCGTACGACTTACTTTATGCAGCGTTGTATCGCGGCTATACCGGCTATCGCGCGGCCATCGATACATTTTTTTATCAATATTTTATAAAATCGATATTTTACAAAAAAAACCATATGTGTATCGAAAGGCAAAAAAATGGAAATGAATAGTTGTTAATATTCTTTACATATGATTATAACAATTTCTCTAATTAAAATATTCTTTCTTTGTTGTAGTTAAATTGAGAGTTGCAAAGAATCAAATATTATTAATTTACTTTTATAAATATAGTGTGTACAATGAGAGTATACATTTTACTTTGCATCTGCTAAGCTTAATTTAGAAATTTTTCCCCTTCATTGGCTATGCAATATTATAAAATAATGAAAATTATTCGATTATCTAAAAATTATCGCAAAAACGTCGCATCTATATTTTTCTCTTAATATTGATAAGTTAATCACTAATAATTAAAGGATGATGCGTAGACTGCACGAACATTTTCTCGAAGTGATGGTTGGCTGGTTGAGTATCGAACATCGAGATCCAGTGTCGATTTTGTCGGGTACTTTCGCAAAGCTGGGCATGCTCGCTCGTTCTCTCGATTAGGCTTTGCCGTCATTAAAAGTTTATAAAGAAGCCGAGGTACGAGGCGGGCAACGACGTGCGGGGGAGAGGGGGGGGGTGGTAGATCGTGGCTTGGCAACCCCAGAACGGGAAGGCAGAGGAAAACTGGCATGACAGAGTAAAAGAGACAGAAGCTCGAAAGTAGGGAGAGAGAGAAAGAGAGAGAGAGAGAGAGAGAGAGAAGAGGGGATGAAGAGAAATTCCAAGCAAGTTTTCTCATGTGCGATGCATAATGAGGAAAAGCAGACGGCGTATAAAGAGCCTACAAATGAAGCTCACACATACACATACACATGCAGCACAAGATATATATATATATATATATATATATATATAATATATTGTAAATAGATATATGTATCTCTTTTCTTTCTATACATTGATGTAAACTTCTTTTGTCACAAAAAATATTTTTGAGTAATTTCATAGCATTGAAATCTCGTAAGAATAAAGGAATATTTTTAGAAATGCTTTAATAAAATTATTGATCAACAAGAAAGTCGTGGAGTTAATTTTATAATGTTATTAATTCAATATTATTTGTTGATCTAAATAATTTTGATTCTAAATAACCAATTAATGTTGCCTAATAGCTTTAGTTTTAATAACAACTAACAATTGTTGTGTGCGTTTTGCGTGTGTTTAGTTATATCACTTATTACCTCAATTATTTAAGAGAATATTTTGATAAATAAAATTTTGAAGATGCTATATAAAAATATGATTTTAAGTTAAGTGAATTATCTTGCATGTCTAACAAACAGAAATATCACTAGTCTAAGAAATATACGTGCATATTATAAAATGTAATGTATCTGAAGTACTGCGTAATTCTTAATATGCAATAGTACAAATTTTTCGCGTAAAAGATTTTGTTGATCGGTATAAGGCACAAACGTTGGTATAACTAAAGATACGAACACGCAATGCGAGTCGCGGTGCATGAAAACCAATTAAAGGTGTTAAATCGATCCTCCCTAGTAACTGACTTGCTAGGCTCCTCGATGAAAGCCTCAATTCTCGTTTATGACGCTATATTCCTTAATCTAATTTTTATCTGTATATGTGAAAAAATATTAAAACTATTTTAGATCTTAAATAATAAAAAATCTCTTTTTAAATTTTAAATAATGAAATCATTGAAGATATCAATTATATTTTTATTGCAATTTTTACGTCTTTGTATTATGATCATATAATAATCTTTAAATATTAAAGGTCAAAGGAAATTACGCTTTCAAACTGTTTTTGAACTTACCTTGTTCATGATTTGGCGGGGATAGTCCCGCCTCGTTAGGGACGGCTCTGCAAGAGAAAAAATATACCAATTACTTCTTTGACATATGATAAAGTAACAAATAGAAACTTAGAAATAAATATCATTATTTGCGTTTAATAGATATTATAGACAATTAGTACATTCTAGTTTTTTCTAATGTATGAAAGTGTTATAACGTATTCAATAATTTGTTTGCATAGATTCCTTAGCGTACTCTAAATAATATAAAATTCTTAATAGTAAATGACTTTTCGGTCATTTAGAAATTTATTGCAAAACATTAAGCAAAACTTAAAGGATTGAACGGAAACATAACCGGGAAGATATCCACTCTTTCTGTACTTCACATCCGTTCTCAACCCCTCGCCGCGCCTTGTGACGCAAGTTAATGCACGTAGGGTGGTCCTTGATCGCGCAGCCGAGCCCCAGCTCTTCCTCTCCTTTCCCTTCGACGGGTACCACCGAATTCCCATAATCTAATGAATGGCCTAACCCCAATATCCTCTCGGCTCAGCTTCACTGCCGCCCACCCTCCATGTACTATCATATATGTACCACGCATGTAAATATCCTCGCTGTCCGCGTGTGCGCACTTCAAGTTCCTTAAAATTCTGCATCCGCAAGCTATAATTGATTATTTTAACGTAATTGCGGCTGTCTGCCCTCCCCCTCCCCCTCTCAAAGTTCCTTCTTAAATTTCGTTAAGGGACGAAATTGATGAGAAACAAATATACAGATGTAAAATTTATCGACCGCTTTGAAAAGGTATGGCAAGTATAAATCATTATCAGAACTGTGAATATTGACGATATAGAATCCTATTCGTGAACCGTTCAGTTAAACTTTTGAGGAAACGAATGAAATTATATATGTAGCAATAAAGGCAGCAGTTTTTTAGGTATTCTGGTATATGTGTAAGAAGCATGAACAGAGACTCGCGTCGGCTAATTGCGCGTTAAATAGGGGTGAAGTCGATGGGCGGAATTCTTTCGTCCAGAAAATGGGCCGGACACGAGCCGGCGGTAGTCGGCGTTGATCCCGCGGCGGGCAGGGTAAGGACGCGCAAATGTGTTTATCTCGGGGAATAATAAAAAGGGTGACCCGACTCGTTCGTGACGCCGGGCGATCGCAACGAAGTCCGGGAATAATGTCTCGGACACGAGGCTCGTCTGCGGATTTGCCCCGGCCCTCTACCCACCCAACCATCCACCCCCCCCCCCTTTCGACCTCCTCCAACCTACCCTTATACGCGTGTCCGCCGCAGATTCAGACTCCTAATTAAGACGAGGGTGCGAGAGGGGTTTCAGGGGTTCCGTCGGGTTCTCCCCTGAGGGGGCAGGGGGTAGGTGGTGGGTGTATGGGTAGAAGGAGGGTTTTCCCGAGGTAAGGGGCACCCGTATCGTGCCGGAGGGGTAAGCCAAGGCAAAGGGGGTAAGGAATATTGATCACGGGACCACCACGGCGGCGAGGCAGGGACTGCCCGCACTCGCCCTCTGCTTTCATCCACCCACCCTCTCGCCATCTAACTCTAGCTTTCTCTTGGCGCTCTCTCTCTCTCTCTCTCTCTCTCTCGCTCTCGCTCTCGCTAACTGTCTCTCACCTTCTACCTTGTTTCCGACATCTTTCGCCGATCCTCTTGCTCTGAAGCGAGCATGGACCGGACCAGACTAAACCACCAAACGCCAGATGCGTGAAATCAGTCGGTTAGAACCTGCCCCGCAGCCTTTGCAAATTATTGACGCTGAAACCGCGAGGCAGATGATGCCTGCGCGCTGTTTCGTAGTGGACTTTGAATGAAGAGAGCCGGTAAGCTCAACGCTCGCGAAGAAGAGCAAAGTAAAAAGCTCTTCTGAGAGAAAGCTTTTTTACATACTTATCGATATAATTAATCCGTTAGATCAAACATGGCATATCGCGTACATAGTAATGATCTTGTTAAAATAAAATATTCTAATATCGGAACCAAACTAATTATAACTTTTAACATATATTGCGTCGATTTATAAAATATACGATTATCCTGAATCATCTGACCATTTAATGAAACGTTTCGGTAACTTTGCGGAAACGCCTTCACATCGTGACGAGGTTTACGAAAGTCGCAATAAGACATGGCTCTCCTGAAGGGAATTTCTGACGCTGGAAATCCGAGTAGCCTGACGAACTTTGACGCACACGCTCGGCCGAACAAGATCTACGCTCTAGACGTGTGCAGCGTTCTCACGAGTTTTCGAGAGAGATCCTCTCGAATAGCGCGCGGAGAAGGAGTAACTGACTTGGCTCGTTTCAAAGACGGGGACAGAAGACGGAGATGGAACACGGGGGGGACCAACGGGTGGGGGCTTGAGTTTACACGACGTTGCGACTCGTCTTTCTACCCGTCGCCTTGCCTTAATTAAATCTCTAGACCCTTCCTGAAGAACCCGCGGACCTGGCGGGAAACTAGAAGAACCGCCTCCCTTTCTCGCTCTACAATTCACTGCGGTAACATGTCGTCTTCTATTGGTCTTCTGCACGTCACTGCAAGGAATGCACGATCGTAGTGACCGTATATACTGAGTTTTCATTGACTTGTTTACTTTATTAGCTTCATTTGTTATATACTGAAACGTTTTACTTTCAACCAATTATTTTATTACTTTATTATTTTTCATAAAACATTTTCTTTCCAAGAATATTGCTATTGAAGTACGTAAATGTCATTCTTTGATAAAATAAATAAAAATTTGTTTTGTCTTGATCTTTATTATGAATCTTCACAAAGGAATTCTTCATTATTATTTGTGAAAATATTTCTAAAACTACAATATATTTTATTTTAACTTCTCTGAACTTATTCTCTGAAATATAGATATACAATTTAAAAATAAAATCATTCTATGTATAAAATAATATTTCTTCCTTTACATTAATATATATTATATAAATAATTAGATTCTGAAAAAGTAATTCATCGACTTTTTACTCGACAGAGTGAACGTCTCCGGGGAACTAGTTTCATTTATGCAGACATTTTTGGCAGACAAATTGTTTCCATTCTGAAAATTCTCTATGTTGATGAAAGTCGTCCGCACAAGCGGCAAATTTCTACAGCGTACAACACAATTTTCTCGTATACTCCATGCCGGTGGCTTCAGATACCGTTATTTGGCGTTGTAACGAACGTCAAGGGCGACCTCGACGAGACCGGAAGAGACCTCATTGTCCAGAGGCGGGGGCGCCGATAGGGAGGGTGCGCAGCAGCGGCAGGCAGCCAACTCAAACTTTGATATGGTTTCCTAAATAACCAAGGCGACCGATACCGCAGCACGATAGTCCTCCTTCCTCCACCACCCTCTCCCACCCCCCTCCAACCCACTTGCCGCCCGTTCACCGCCTAGACCGATCTGCGGTGGTCCGGAGAGGGTACTGTAACTACCGCCGAAGCATATTGAAACCCTCGCACCAACGGTGACCCGACTCGCCACCCCGGGCAACCCCCACCCCGGCCAATCCGCGACCCGCCGCCGTTCAGAGAACCGATACAGAGAGCGAGAGAGAAAGAGAGAGAGAGAGAGAGAGAGAGAGAGAGAGAGAGACTGCCGTCCGTGCAAAACTTGCGGCATGAGTGCGTTTGTCATTTCGTAGGTAAACGTTACCAACTCCAACGGGCGCAGGCAGTAACGCCCAAACGTTTTCATAATGTCGACAGGTAGCGGTTAATTCGGGCGCGGAGTGACAGGTAATCTGCAAGAGGACCTTGCGAAGATGGAAAAGGAATGAAGCTTGCGGAACCGGTGGTCCTACGGTCAAATGCGTTAAGTTCCCTTGAACGGGGCAGAATATCACAAACCGTTACACTTGGTGCAAGTAATGTGTGGTTAAAATGACCTGTACACGGAGAGAATTTTTGTTTAAATTTACCCTGCAAATCATGTTAATTATGGGACAATATAGTATTTAGGAAAATTTTACTGTGCACTGCAATAAATTTGACAGTAGTAAAATACATTAAAATTTATTGTAGTGCACAGTAAAATTTGCCTAAATAATAATAATATTATATCTTCCCACAATTAACATGATTTGCAGGGTAAATTAAAAAAAAAATTCTCTCCGTGTATAGTAACGAGATATAAAGAGAACGAACAGAAAAATAAAGTTAAGTTATTTCCAAACTTTCTTGACTTCTTTATTTTAAATATGTACACATAAAGCTTGAAGCAAAATGTCAATAGCTGTTCTTGTAGGTATATTATTAGAACCCAAGTCAATACATTGTATATTATTATAGATAGATGTTTCTTTTCAATATTCACGATCAGATATTCAAGATCATTGTGTATTAAACTTTGTAAAACAAGAGAGATACTTACACACACACGTGCGTAAGCAACACAGTAGTTGATAAATAGAAAAGCGAATCATTTTTAATTTTATTATTATTTTCTGATTATTTATATGTTATTTATATGATGTTAAAGGGTAAATATATTATTTTATTTTGTTCTACACTAACAAACTGTTTAGAACTTCATTGATCTACGCAACAATTATAAATGAAAGCATGCTGCCCTCTCATGTAAGAAACATTTCCCATCTGCTTCAAGATAAATAATTTTCACGATGAATTTCTCATCGACAATAATACGTTTGAACTAATACTTGATATATTTTTAATATTTTAATATTATTTTATTCATAAGCGTAACCAGATAAAACCAGATGAAAAGTGGACGAGCAGATAGTCATCTAGTTTACAATTTCTTCCCTCCAGGCCACCAATAGACGCGATGCCTGTATCTCGGGGCTGGGCTGTTTGTCCGCTAATTAGAAGCTAACAGCTGAACTAAAGTTCGGAACTTTAAAGTTTCTTGCACTCGCGCGGAAGCCTCTTGCTACCCATTCAATACCTCCTTTTCGAGGGTGGGTAGTAGAACCGGCCGCCCTTTGAGAGGAACACCCTTCCTCTCCTTACCTGCCGAGCCGTCCACCTGTCTTCCTCTCTCTATTCCGGTTGCTCCGGCTACCGGCTAGCGTTAATTAC